AATACAATGTGATCAATAATCCTTCAGGGCGCGAATGCAACACAGTCACATCGGTTCGGATTAGTCCGTATCAGGGCTGTGGTCCAGGTAAGAAACACCTGTAATAGTCTGTGCTACGTCCTGATGAGGAGATCTGTGATTCTATTGGCTGATGATGTTGTTTAATAACACTTTACTTTAACGGGTCATGTTGTTGTTGTTGTTTATTTTGTGTTTCCAGGACGACCCTCTGTCCTCCCTCCCTCCCCCAGGTCCTACTGCCCGCCTTCCCGCCTTCAGCGAGACAGAAGAACCAGGTGAGATTTCCTGTTTCCTGTACTTGACTACAAGTACACATACCGTTGCTAAATATTACTCCACTAAATGTAGAAGTATTTCTACTTGACTCAAAGTACAAAAGTACCTGCTTCCTGTTTGTGTTTGCCAGGGTTCATGGACATGACAAACAGAATTTAAAATACACGTATTTATTAAACAATGTTGTTATTGTCCTTTTAATAAAATTCAACATACTCAGTTATAATTTTACCACACAGTAAAAATACTCTATTACACTTAAAAGTATTAAGAGTATCATCAGGAAAATGTCCTCATTGTCCTTTTGAAAGTTATTCTATTATATTTTATTATTATTACTCGTGCATTAATTAATAAAGCAGGATTTTACTGCTGTAGTTGTTGAGCTGAAACTCATTTTGAACTTTTAGAACAGAACAGAAAACTTTATTGTCATTGTCACATATACAACGAAATGTCAAAGTGCAGACCAGCCAGTGCATCATTCTTAAGATGTAACTTAAAATAGTAAATAAATAGTAACTAAAAACAGCATGAACAAGCATTCATGTATACAGACACACTTATTGCACCAGTCCCTCACTTTAGCAGCGTTGCAGTTATCATGACCACAGCAAACTCTCTTCATTTAACAGTCACATACTTCAAGTCTGGGGAGCAGTGACTGTCTACAGTTACTGTGTTTGTACACTCGCTGTTGTTCACATATACACTGAGTCCCCCACCTCCGCGCTTACAGGGGTCTACTGTTCTAATCCAATTTTCAGGATCTAATGCCGGCTGTAGGTGTTATTTGCCCGACATAATGTACATAAAATAAAAAACGACGTATACCTAACCAGCCACACGAGGCACCCACCGGGAAAGCACTTAGCCGCTGCATCTGTGTGCGGCGCCATTCTCTTCTGTATCCGACTGCAGCTAATGATTATTTTCATTATGGATTAATCTGCTGATTATTTCCTCCATTAATCGATTGATTGTTTGTAAAGATGCCGTCACAGTTACTCAGAGCTCAAAGTAAAGTACCTCAGTGTTGTTCTTAAGTACAGTATTTGAGTAAATGTACTTACTTACTGTGCACCGCAGCACGTGGTAGCAGAAGGCATATTAATCTTCTTCTTCTTCTCTCTGTGCGTCCAGAGAAGAAGAAGAGGAAGACGAGGGGCGATCACTTCAAGCAGCGTTTCAGGAAAAACTTCACCACGCTGCTGGAGGAGGAGGTGGGTCACGTGGCGTCACTGTTTTTCCTGCTTTCTCATTGGCTGTGTGTCTACTGTCAGCTGACTCCTGCTCTGCTCTCTGATTGGTAGAACCTGTCGGAGAAGCCGGAGCCCAACTACCTGTCCGCGGCGGCCCCGCCCTCCTCTCTGCCCCCCCGGCACTTCTGCTGCGTCTGCGGCTTCCCCTCTCACTACACCTGCACCACCTGCGGGGGGCGCTACTGCAGCACCAAGTGTCTGTGTACGCACAGAGAGACCAGGTACACACACGCCTTCCTGTACTTGTGAGGACCCTCAGGGACTTAATGCATATCCTAGACCTTAACCCAGACCTTAAAACCAAGTCTTGACTAACACAGGTAAAGACCGGACTAAATGTCCCCTCGCTCATGGTCTAAAACATTTGAAGAATTTGTTTAGGTCCACTTCAAAGAAATAATCTCAGGACTCGCATATTATAGATCGTGGACTCGTAGCACACAACAGGTCTTCACGATGCTGAGCACATTGCTCAGTTCTCATGGCGTAACGGCGTGATCTGTTCTGTAGTATGGTGCAGACAGGAGCCATGTTTCCATCGCATTTTGAAGTATTGCATTAGAAAAGGTGGATGGAATCGGCAAAAAAGGCTTTACGCTCACTTGAGGAGGAACAGTAAATGCGCTACGCTTTTGCTGAATAGGTTCTGACGTAGCGAACTTGTAATTCACGTCTGATCAGCTGTTTCTGCTGTCGGCGTATTCACAGATTATTTACTGACCAGAGTAGGGCTGGGCAGTAAAACAATAATGATAATTATTGCAATATAATTTTCCTCAATAACGATATAATAAATGTTCAATATATCATCAGTAAATATTTGATTTAATTCATTAGAATCATATTTTGTAGTGGCCTTTTATTGTGGCCAGCCTAAGGCCTTTTATTGTGGCCAGCCTAAGGCACACCTGTGCACTGCTGTCTGATCAGCATCTTGATATGCCACACCTGTGAGGTGGATGGATTATCTCTGTAAAGGAGAAGTGCTCACTAACACAGATTTTGACAGATTTGTGAACAATATTTGAGAGAAATAGGCCTTTTGTGTACATAGAGAAAGTCTTTGAGTCCAGCTCATGATGAATGGGGGCAAAAACAAAAGTGTTGCGTTTATAATTTTGTTCAGTGTAATAATACCATATATTACTCAGGTAATTATTATATTACATTATAATGAAAAACTGTATATTTTGTGTATTTTTCAATATATTTTTGTCATGCAGTAGTTATCACCTTACACATAATCTGCCCCAATGACTATTTTGAATGCAGCACATTGACTTTTGTAGTTTATCTCTTTATTAGCACTCTTTTAATTCTGACGCTACAAAAATTTGTCAGCCACCATCTATGATCCGGTGACCCAGAGGAAACACTGCTGTTGAATCCATCTAACACTACATGACTGTCTACAACGAGCAGATTTTACATCAGCGCCGCAGATCTGAAAGAGGAGCTAGAAATCTTTGTTAGGCAGGAAGATGCACCTCACAGTGAACCCAGCTGAACGCTCTTCTGTTGGCGTCCTCCGTGTTGAGAAAGCCTCTGTCTGTGTCCCGCAGGTGTTTGAAGTGGACGCTGTAACTGCCGCCACGTTACCATGGCGACGATGGCGGTACCTGTTCGCTGAGGACAGACGGACGAGCCGGGCGTTGAACCTGTGAACTGACTCTCTGTTTGTTGGCTTCTGTGAGAGCAGACGGACTCGCACACACATATACCAGAGTACGCTGTGACGTCACCGGAGAAGGCGAGGAGTTAAACCTCTGGACGTCAGAAGATCTACAGAAAGTGTTCAGTTTCTGTTTAACTCGTTTACTTAAATTGGAATATTTTTCTCCAAACTGTTCCAGTTATTCCTCATCCCATGATGCATTGTGTGACTTCACTGATCCGGCGTTGGTGAGAGTTAGCGGTTTATATTCTTTTATTTTCACAGCGTTTTGGCAAATAAACAATCTAAAAAACAACATTTTTAAAGGAAAGGTTTGTCCCTCTGAGAGCCAGATGTTCAGATTGAATCCGCTCTCGTGGCCTTTATGCTACAGCTAGCAGCTGCTTAGCTTAGCTTAGCTTATCTTAGCTTAGCATAAAGACAGGGGGAAACAGCTAGCCTAAATCCTAAAAAACTAAATCCTGTCACAATGAATCTGTATCTGTTCCTCTAGCGAAGCTGCACTCACAGCACAACATGCTACATACCAAGTGTTAAAGCTAACATAAATTGAATGCTGATATGAGGAGTATGTGAACAGAGTTGGTCTTTTTCCATGTGGCGTTCTGTTTATTTTGTCCACCACCCGTGTGTGCTGATGTGCCAGATGTTGTGTTATTGTTTTGTAAATAATGATTCGTGTTTCGTCTTTTATTAAAGAAAGTGACCCTGAAGCTGAACTCTTCTTCTTCTTCTCTCTGTCTGATCCAGTAGAAACCGTCAAGTGTCGACTTTTAAACAGCAGCATTTAGTTTGTCCGGTTTTCAACACCGAGCAGGTGGAGGTGATGGTGCCGCCCCGAATAATTGGTGGAGGTGGTAGCCTGAAAGGACCGCCTGCAGACACTACTCAGGGCTGAAAGCTTCTCCACCTGCGTTTGTTTGATCTTCTGAACGCTGGACGCTTTCACATCTAGCAGTTAGTTAGTCTGTGTTGTGGCATTAGGAAATATGAACATCTAACCTTGTGATCACGTTCACATGTGGAATAGGGCAAAGTATTTGTTCTGTTGACGAAAAGGGACATAAAAAACAATTATTATTCATATTTTTTGAAAAAAGATTTTGTCACAATAGTTTTGAATGTTCTACGTCAGATTTGTTAAGTGATCCATTTTGAGCATAAAGAAAAGTTTCACCACATAATTAACCATCTGGTTTCTTCTATTTTCCACTCAGGAGCAAAAATCTGCCTTTAAACTTAAAAGAAATAATGATTCAACGTATATCGAATGATTAGAAATGTTTTTATCTTGATAACATTTTCGGCCGTATCGCCCAGACCTAATGTGGAACCAAAAGACATCATATTCTTCTTGAACAGTAAAACTTCTCTCACAAGCCTCTTGTTTTAATCGCTTTCATTGACTTTATCTCACCTTTTACCGTGTTTTTATGATGGTGGTTTTATCTCGTATCTGGTTTTAAAAATATGCTTTTATTTTATATTTCTGCTTTTATTTATTTTTTTATTTTACGTTCATTGATGTTTTTACATTTCTGTTTTTACCTTCTCTCAACATCTTGGGATTAGTCACGCACCTTGATTCTTGCTGTATGAAATGTGATGTTATAAATAAATTGACCTCACTAACGGGACTGAACCCCGGTCGAAGGTGCAGCACAGAGCGGTTTGTAGTAAAGATGGAGCATCAAAGGCGTCAGGCCGACATTGTACAACTTGATCACAATCTGATATCTGATTGATTTAAACATACATGAGACAGGAAATAGAATTTATATATCATTTAATTTGAGTCTTCACGAAAGAAGCAAAGTTGAGTTGACCACAAACGTCAGTTTGGAACATTTTATATGCGAGACGTCAGGAGTCTCTTCATCATTTATTTATTTAGCTGTGACTTACAGTTGCTACATGTGTCGCACGCGTCTTGCGCACCGCACACCTCAAACCCGGGTCTCCTACAGCACAGGCATGTGTCATATCCACTGCACCACCTGTTAACATAAAGATATCGATCACATCAGCTTTGAGGGAAAGAGCCGATGAAAGGTCAGCGAATCTTAATGCTTTAAAGTGTGTGTGTGTGTGTGTGGGGGGGGGGGGGTTAAAAGTCCAGCTGACTCTCTATTTTCCTTCCTGGTATCCATGGCAACACTGTCATTAAACGCGTAAATTATTAATGTGGACTTTTGAGTTGTGTGTGTGTGTTTTGCATGGATGAAGTTTTCAGAGTGTGGTGAAGCGAGGCGAGGGCTGCAGGAAGTGGTCGGTCAGCCGTCACGCCGCCGAGGAGCTGCAGCTTCACACCAGCCAGTGAGTACAAGCTGGGAGTCTCCTCTGAGGGGCTCAAACCCACGAGAGTCAGGAACGGGTTCCAGGGGGGCCCCGGGTCTCCCTGACGGATCCTCTGGTTGAATCGCTGTCTGGAAATATAAAGTTCATTTGCTGCTGTTAAAATATTAGATGAACTGCAGCTGCCAACAGGTGAATTCTCTTTAAAGCTCCTCCCGCTGCAGACGTCATGAAGCCTTCTTCATCTTCATCGTCCTCTTCCTCGGTGACAGCTGCACCAGAAACTCCGCGTCCCTCTTTTTCATCTCGCCCTCCTCGTCAAAGTCTGCAAAGTCCAGAGTTGCAAGCAGAGTTTCTGCAAGGTGAGAGTCTGTCTCACCTCAAAATGACCTCGAGCAGCGTAGTCTTTGTGCGTCAGTCTGGGGGAGGGAGGTGAGGAAGAGGAGGAGGGAGGGAGGAGCCCATCATCGGCCCACGCCTCCTCACCTCTCTCGCCGTCGTCTGTCTCATCCTCGTCTTTCTGTTTTTCAGAGTTTCGGAACAAATCCCGGTTTCACAGAGACGTCGGTGAATCCAGTGCCGTCTCCTCTCCCCCCTCCTCTCCTCTGCCCTCCCCCCCTCAGTTCCACCCCGCTCTCCTCCCCCTGCAGCTCCTCAGCCTCCTCCTCCTCCTCCCCTCCAGGCTACGACAAGAGACAAGGTGAGCCGGACGTCACGTGGCCTTCATGTCACGTGCAGTGGTGGGGAGAGCACTGACAAACTTTACTGAAGTAAAAGTACTCAGTCAATAATCCATTTATTTGGTCTGACATTAGTTTCACTGAGGAAATGAAAGTAAGCGTCTGCAGGTTGATGATGTGGATCAACACATGTGCTTTATTGTGAGCAGGACTGAACGATCAATCGTTTTCAAATCGAAATCGCGATTTGAAATAAGACGATTAGCTAATCGTGAAGAAGGCGATTAAAATGTAGGTTAATTACACAGCTCATTTTAAACAGTCATGCAGTTACAGATTCATGCCGTTGTCATCCTGCCAATCACGAGCGCCATGCGCCTCCTGTCACGGTCCTCCTCACCAATCAGAGCGGCACAGGGCATGTACGTTTTACAACAACAAACTAAACTTGTGGGATAATTGCGCCAACCGTACCGACTCAGGCAGCGGCTGTATCGCGATTTAGTCCAGCGTCAACTCACACTGAAGTGTTTCAGCAGCGGAGCGTTTAGATGAAACATGGGAGACAACCATAGAAAAGATACCTCTAAGCCCATTGCGAAACGTTTCAAGGAAACCTGTCATTCAATCCTAAAACGCCACGGCTTTCTGTGAACCTGTTTGGCTCCGCACTCCACATGGCTACATATCCCACATAGGGCATTTCAGAATAAGAGCGTTTTGCCTGCCTGATTTTGCTGACTTGTTCAGATTTGAGTTGGTTCAGTTTTCCTTGATTTTTGTACAACTCAGTAGGCTACGTAGTTAAATTGTTTATTTTTATATGATCGGGAATCTGCACAGGGTGTTTTATTTTGAAAGTCAACCGTTCTGTGTCAGACTTCCTGTCCGGTTCATCTGCTCTGTGCTGCTCGACTCGGCTTCCCTGAAAAATAGACTGGCAGTAAATATTGAACTTTGGCAAAACTTCGCAAATCAAATTTTAATCGCAACATCTGGCAGAAGAATTTAGATTTTTTTCTAATGCAAAAACCTGTGAAAGCGCTGTCAGAGGTTTTTGCATTAGTTTGGATGATCATGTAATGGGGCTGAACGATTAATTGCATTTGCGATATTATCGCGATGTGATACAACAAGATTTTCTAATCGATTACACTCTGGTCACATGACACCCAAGAGGAAAGCAGTCTCAAACCAAACGAGTCCGAAAGAGGCGCAGTCTGTCTGGGGAAACTCTACGCTTGTCTATTAAACACGAGAAGCGTCACTTGGTTTTATTTTCATCGGCCAACTTTTTAATTGAACCTCAAACTGAGTATTTTTTGTTTGCTTACTGGGATACAGAAAGATGGAGTCCTGGGAGATTAGAACTGATTTAAGTACATTAATTGCTGGTTGAACTGTGGGTTTTGTATTGAGCGCTCACTGTAACAATCTGACTTTCATAATAATAATTCTACCTCTGTGTGCAGCTCGTTTGTCGCTGTCCAGCCCTGAGCTCCTGTCAGAGCTGAAACACTCGAGGACACGCTCCCTGCGACATGTCCCCGAACACAACGGCCTGACCACCGTCTTCTCTGGACGGGGAAGAGGAGGAGGAGGAGGAGGAGGAGGAGGAAGAAGAGGAAGAGGACGACAGGTGAGCAGATACAAACACTTCACAGGGAGGCGGAGAATCAAATATTCACTAACTTTTCGTTCAGGGCGACACGTACAGCTGGTGACATGACAGGATGTGGTCTGTCTGCAGTGTCGGGAAAGTTGCGATATATTACTAGTTATTAAAAAAAGTAATATTATTACTTATTACTGGGTGATAAAAGAACTAGTTACGTTACTATATTACTTTCCAGTGTTTCCCACAGAATATATGCTCCTCAATCAAAAATGATTTGAAATCCAACTAGTAAAAAAAGTAGAAAATCATCATGTGGCGGTCAGCGTTTATGGGAACTGTAATAATCTTGCTGTTTTAGAAAAGTAATTAGTTACACTTCTAGTTACTGGAAAGGAAATATTACTTGGCCAACACTGTCTGCCACAGACAGGACAAAGACTAAAGACAAAGACCTGAGCCTCCTCAGGGGGCGCCACCGAGCTGAAGGGAAGGCAAATGCTGCATCCCATTTACCTCGGAGGTCGGAGCAGCGATGACATCACCAGCCAGGTTAGCTATTGATTCGCCGGTTGATAAAAGAAAACGCATTGTGCGGTATTTACTCACACTAAACACTGTAGCAACACGTCCACAGACAGCAGCAGCACTTTGTGTTCAAACATTTAAATCGGTCACAAGTGTTAATAAACAGTATAAACCACAGCTTTCACTAACTGTTGATACCCGACAGCCATCTTGATCACAAAGTCGGGGCAGTGCAGTTCTCCCGACTTCGGAGGTCGGGATTCCCTTTTGACCTTTGAACTCTGAAATTCTGACTTCTCGACCTTTAGTTTAGTGCAGTTTACGGGACAAATAAAAATGTTTAAACATATTATTCAAGATTGTTTTGTACATTTTATGAAAGTATGGTAATAATAGTTGCATAATAACTTGAAATCTGAAACCGACAGAAGAAGCTAAATCATCATTGTGGACTGTGGCGTCTCGCTTTAAGCTCTGCTGTCCTTCACATTTTCCTTTGTTTGCTCTTTTATGGCTTTTACAAAATCAACACATTTCCAACCTATAACTAGAAAAAGTACTGAGGAACAAACACATCTTTTACTGTTTTATTTACTTATTTAATTAAATTAATTGTTCTCAAGTAATTTATTTGTAGCGTTGGCAATATTGTTGTCATACATTCATGCCAATAAAGCTGATTTGAATAGAAGAGAAATATATAATCTGCTCACTTCAAAGAAGCTCCGTCACAGAGTCGTAGCACAAGCACGACTTTGACAGGCGGAAGGAAAAGTAGTTCCTATCAACCGAGTATAATTAGGCAGGAAACGTTGGTATCAGAAATATCGATACTTTAGGATTGATCTGCTTATCACTAATGGAAACGGGTTTCTGCCACTACATATCAAAGTTTCCTCCTCACTAGAGGAAGAGGTGTGCAGGCTGGAGCCTGATCCTTCTCACAGGAGGTTTTACAATAACTATCACAATAGAAAGTAAACTCAATCGCGTGTGTCTTTATTCCCCTGCAGCAAAGTCGCAGACATCATCAGCCCAAGGATCAGTACGTGATGTCACCGTCCCACTGAAGCGCTTCTGCCCGCTGCACATACAGGTCCGTGTGTGGCGGTCGCGTCACTTACTGATCCTTCAGAAATACTTGGGGGGAAAATATAGCGTGTGTCAGTCAATAAAAGAGCTTCGTTACTGAAAAGCTATTTGATTCAGAAAACAGCGACGCTGCCACCAAGCTACTGAGAAATTTAGTTAAAATAGTAACGCTATTTAGTAAATACTGCGTAATGTGTTTTCAAGAATCAGCGTTGGTAACAGTGGCTAACTTGGCTAGTGTGAGGTTCTCCGACTGTTAACTTGAATGCGGTCAACTCAGGCATGACGTCATTCCCAGTTCCTACTTCCGTGGTAAATGTAATGCACCATAAAAAGCAGGAGCCTTCTGTAACAAGGCCCCTTGTGGTTTATAGGCCTGCATATTTGTGTTAGCACGTTAGCATCAGATTAGCAGGATGATGTTAATCTTGAATGTTCTTCTCCCGCAGGCCTCCGGCCCCACCCCGACCGCACGACCAGCCAATCAGATGACTTCGCACTGATCATCAGCAGCACCCGACCCTGTACCAGACTACTGGACCTGAATCCATCATGGACTTGGCTATCCTATAACCAATCATGCATTATTTACCATCAAATGAATATTTGAACAATAAGTCCTTGATTTCAGAGAGAAGTAAATAAAAAGAACTTTTGCTCCCATATGTTTGTTTTTGAAAGACTAAAACAAGACCCGAGCCTCCAAACTCAGAGGAGGGTTTAGCGGACAGTTAATTATCTCATGTTAACACCTCACGACAAAGTATCTTAGGGATGGCGCCCGATTCTGACTCAAATAGCTGAATCGGTTATTGGTGATAACGAGCTGATCTATGGGTCGATCCATTCACTTCCATTATGCACGTACTACGCATGCGTCGGTAGACTGGAACATTTTGCTAAAATAGCATTTTCAGGAAAATGTTTATAACGTATAACTTCTGAAGAAGCTAGCTCGGTATGGATATCGTGGCAGAGGCAGTGAAGTAACAGGAGAAGACGAAGTTGGAGGAAGCGAAGAAGAGATAAAGAGAGAGTGACGGAGCGAAAGACCGGACAGAGTGAATATCAGACTGGCTTTTACTGGTTGAGCTTAAAGAGCTGTTAGGATGCAGGACAGACGCCGAGCTGGCCTTCTTTCTGTTGTCAGTAATAACTTGTTAGCTGCTCGCTGTGTCCAGAAGTGTTGTGCTTGCTTGATGTTTGGCTGTTGGCAAAGTAAATCAGCCGGAGGTTACACAGACAGAGGTTTAGCCTCTAGCTACAAATCTTTAGTTGATGTAACCCACTAGATAACACACTCGGACGTCTGTAACGTTACTGTAAGTGCTCCTGCGTCCTGCTGTTTCTCGGCTAGCTCGCCACTCAAGTTTCAAGCAGCAGCAACATTATTCTGCTGCTGGTGGAGAGCAGCGCCGGGGTAGAACAAGAGCTGGGCAAGCGGGCAACGTAACTTTGGGAGAGGTGGAAAGACCGAAAAAAGGATGTTGACGGAGGTAGCTAAGAAGATAAAAAGAGAGTGGCGAGAGTTTCCCGCGAGACAAACGTAGAGCTGGCAGTCTTTCTGTGTACACAGTCTGACTTTTCACTAATATTGCTGTGTCTTGTGTTTTCGCACTTGCTCGATGTTTGGCTGTGTTAGCAGTAACGTAATCATAACCAATGCACCTGTGCGCATATTCATGACAGCGGTGAATCTTACTGTGTGGTGTCCAAAATCACTACTCACTATATATACTGGACTATTCATAGAGAGCTCGCCATTTTATAGGGCTGTCCGAATATATAGTGAGAATGATCATACCCTATACAGTCCACTCAAAGCATCCCAGAATGCATTTTGAAAAGTAATGTAAAACCATCATGCATTGCTCTGATAGAAAAAACAGTCCACCAACTGATTGTCCGACGGGAATGACGTAATTAACAGTGCTGAAATACTGACGGGAGTAGTGCCTAAAAGTGTTGTTTGCATTATGCGGGTTGTTGAGAATTATTTTAGAGCATTACAGCCTAAATTGTTATAATATTCACTAGAGTGAAGGTGTTCTGCATTGTCATCATTTAAAGTATTATTTTATAGTGTAAAGTTAAGATCACAGTGTTAAGACTCTATAGCTCTGAGTGTGTGTGTGTGACAGCAAGGCATCATCGAAAACACCAGCAAAGGAAAATGTAGAAGCAGAATTAGTGAAAATTGTGTTACAAAATGTACATAAATACAGTAAGAATGTCCTGTCTATAGCGAACAGTACAAGAGACACCAGCTTATTCCACAAAGTCAGGGTTTTGAGTCATCAGTGATTATCTCTAATCAGTATTAATATCATTCTTAATAATCATTCTTAATCATTTTTATTAGTATTCATCATTAATCATTACTGATTATAAGTATAATCATATCAGTATAAGTAATATATAATAATATAAGTACTGAGCTTTGTTCTGCTGTTATCTACTGTTGTTATGACTACATGAGGAACTGTTGATGTGTTAGTCTGCTGATATTAAGACTACGTGCTTAATTACTGATTAAGAGGTCGATTGTCAACTTCCAACCTCTGGTTGTTATAGACTGCGTGAACTTTGAATGAACTTGCTGAAGGAATTTTTGCTTGGCAGAAAAGCGACACAGGGTTGCTGAAATCACGTCAGATATAAAGATATAGAAAGTCAACAATACAGTAATAAATGACAGCTGGGGAACAGTGTTAATTGGTAAAAACAAAGAAGTTCATCATAAGGAAGGAGCAAACCAGCCCAGAGGGGATATATTAGACTGTCTGCAGACCGGAGGATTGACTCCATCCTCTGACCTGCTGGGATGTTGTACGGGTTTATCTGTCCTGTTTTGGAATAAACTCTTTTGCGCCGACTCTTGACCGTCTCCAGAGAAGTTTTTGATTGCAAACTTATTGACTCCAATAGAAAGTTAATGGAGTATTTTTGACACAGTTTATAAAGCTGGTGAAGGTGGGGACCAGGCTCAACTGGCCCAGCCTAGTTGTACATCTGACCCAACAGGGTGAGCTCACTATGTAATCCTCTACATACAACTCACTATATAGGGAGGAGGAGGCAACCCTACAAATACTTAATCTCAATCTTAATCTCTTAACGTACTGGCAACGCGGTCAATGCACAGCTGATCCTTCGGTGGCAGCGAGAGGAAACAGCGGCGTTGACTCTGAAGAGAGGCTTTTCTTCTCTCAGTAAAAGAACAGTGCGTCTGAGTCTTCTGTCGGTATGAAGACGTTATGTTGGGAGTAACGAACTTCCTTCAGGATCCAAGCGGCTGGCGAGTTTAGTCCTGCCCTTAGGGATTCATTAAAGTTCATAAAATCTAAATAAAATTGGTGGAGGCGGCATTATTATCAGAGCGGTTTTTAACTGATTGGTGGTGGAAATTGTATATTTCCTTAAGAAGAAACAAATAAAGAAGTTACAACAAACAGTTGTCTTTGTGATATTTATTAAAAGAGTGTCATACACCAGAGGGCGATTACAGAGTCTGACCCAGAGAAACAGATAAGACATTTAATGCTACAGACGTATATGTAGAATACATGCACTACAACGTTAGACACAGTTTACTCATGGACCTGTGATTGTAAAGCCACAGTCCCACACAGCAGGCTATTCATTATTTTCTTTCTGTGGAAAATGTGTCTGACTTTTAGACTTCTAGTTTACATTTAAAAATCTTGCTCATTTCATATTTAATAAAATTTGGTCAAAACACATTAAGACTATAAGCAGAAAATATTAACAAACTCACTTTATTTGTTCCAGCTGCACCCCTGTCATCCTCACTCAGAAACATTCACATCAGCTCCAGCACGATAACTACGATCCAATCAGTGCGACTAATCACAACATGACAGATGACTGTTCATTTAGGTTACAGCTTAATACAGATTAGTTTGATTTAAACGGTGATTACTGAAGTTGTAGCCCACAGTAAATGTTTTAGCCTGACAACCTGACAGTTGCCTTAATGTCCACAGAGTCAAATGAAGGACAGCATCACCCATATTTAATTCTGAGGGTGACTCGCAATGTCCACAGATCGCTGCCTCTGTCCAAAAGCAGTCATGTGGAAGACCATGTGTGGGTAACAAACTAATACAACCATGATTTAGATCGTTTTGTTTCCTTCTGCCAATGATCTGCAGCTTTGAGATCGACACAGTATGAACGAGGAAATGAAACGGCGTGTCAAAAAAGCCGATTCAGGCTCTGCAGGAGGGGAAGAGTTAAGCTTGATTTCTACTCCTGCGTAGGGTCTACGCACGTAGCCAGGCATTTATACTTATTCTTAGCGCTCCGTTAATTTAGCGGTAGGTGTAGCCTTTTCAAATGTTACCGACCGAATGGATCACATTCTGATAGAGGAACGAGTCATTTTGCTCGGGGTCGATCCACCGTGTTTCAGCACGCTGTTTTGGCCGCTAGTAAAAGTTACTTCAAAGCACGGGACACTTCCTGTTGGCTCTGAGGCATTGCAAGACTACCCAGCCGACCAATCACAGAGCTTACGGTCCGCGTCGACTTGACGTGTAGTTACATTTTTGAGGACATGCATGTCAGGCGACGCCGTAGCCCCCTATGCCGTCGATTCGACGCAGAAGTACACTTACAGTTGAAGTAAACCTCCTCCGAGGAGATGACAACTGAGCCCGATCCATTGCAGGGCTCTACGCTAACCTTTTTTGGAACACAGCAGAAAATGTTCAAGTAACTATTGATTATATACATATTGACTCTACGTGTGTTGTCTTCTCCTTGTGAAACCATTGGAGGAGTACGGAAGTGAAGACCCTGTTATCTGGTCACTCGGCATCGGCCTTAATAATTTGTAAAGGATTTCTAAAATACTGAAACAGATGTTTTGAAAATTTGATACATTGAAAAAAGCATTTTAAAACACTCACAATAAACGTTACTGTAATTGGTGCTTGTGTAGTTTTTGAACCAGGGACGGATTCACAATCCACCAGCAGCACCCACACAACCCACTACACACCTGATATAAACAAGACTACTGAATAGTATTACAATAACTTCAGTAAAACCAGGGGAACGTTGCAGCAGTGGAAATCTTTCTGGTAAGTTACTTGCACATTGTGCTCATAAATCATTTTTCCGGTTCACACATTTGATTTTTAGGGGCATATGCGAGCAAAATGGTTGCACTGTAGAGCCCTGCATTGGCAGAAGATTTGTTTTGATTAACAATCGTAATCGACTATATTGTGATTCCAGTTTCTTAGTTATGAAGACTTGCTTCTTTTCTTTGTCTTACTTGATAATAAACTGAACAGTTTTAAAGGTTTAAAGATGGACAAAACAAGCAGTTTGAAAATACCTGAGCGATAACATGACAGATTAATGGACTGTGAGAAAATACTCCATTGTAGTGAAGGTTGAAAAGTGCTAGCAATATTTTCTTGCATGAATTACAAGAACAGTAAAAGTAAATTTTAGGTGGGATGAAAACTAAACTACATGAATAAAGAGATGGCTCATAAACATTCAACAAATTTACATAAAGAACAAAGTAGCTATTTTTTTCTTTGGAAAGTAAAAGTCCAAGTAGATCAGGAATCCTTAAAACGCACTTCTTCCTGGACGGGGGTTGGAGGTGTGGCCTCTTTGTGTGTGACGACAACAGGATTATGGTGAGAGGGGCAGCACAGTACGTAGTCGCAGCCACGATAACATACATGCTGATCAGAATATAAAGTTACTGTTGTCTCCCCCTCAGTTTGTAGAGAAAATCAGTTCAGTCAGGACAACTTTCATCAAAGAAGCGTTAAGTTTGGCTCTGTTCTGGGATCTCCCTTCCACGTGCCTAAATGGAAAGTCCCCAAAAACAAACACACATGTGTGGAGCGAGTCCGCCGACCTGACAGTAGTTTAGAAGTAGTCCCTTGTGTCCTCAGATGTCCGTGTATGCGTCCGCTTTGAGTACATTCGAGGCTTTAGCGTTAGCTTACTACATTAAAAATAATTAATGTGACTTTTAATTTTTACAAAAAAATGACACTTGGCAACCAAGTCAGGCCCCTGAACCAATCCTGCAATCAACTATTTGACAGGAAGTGTGGGGATGTTTCCCCAGAGCTTTTCTCAGCTCAGGGAGAGATTGTGGCAGGACAAAGAACAAAAGGAACCCACAGAGGAGACTGGAACTGCTCTTCACAGCGATCTCTGAGGGACAGTGATACCTCAGATGCTGCCAGAGGGAAGTAATCGCCGGGCGTCACAGGCCTGCACCCGGGGAGGAAAACAGCCAGCTGTGCCAGGAAAACTTGACTTGCCAGGTCTTGGATATAGTTTGTGCTGGCGAGCGATTAATGGATCCTGGACCAGTTGTCAGGATGATTATCCACTGTGGAGTGGGCTGCTGGGCTGGGCCTCGAGGATCAGCGGCTGAAACAGTTTCTTGTCTGGTGCTTCTGAGGTGCTTGCAGAAGAAGCAGCAAGGGCAAGCAGACTATAGCAGCTTAAGTTGAATATAAGGTATCTTATTTAACAACTAATGCTAAGAGAGGAATCAGCTGATGGGGCTGGGATTGAGAGCAGAGCTTGACTTCATTGCCTGCCTGAGCTAACACTATGCTTGCTAATAAAACAACACAGCTATCAGGGCAAGAGGAAACAGCTTGTTTGGATCTGAAAAATGTTTAAACCGAAGCAGTGTGAATGCGTTGGTGGCGTTTAAGGTTACCAGACTGCGTAAAGGTTTTCTCACATTGGTCACAGCTGTATGGTTTATCCCGGGTGTGAACACGTTGGTGGACATTTAATGTACTTGATTTAGAGAAAACTTTCCCACATTGGTCACACCAGTACGGTTTATTCCCAGTGTGAACACGCCGGTGGATATTTAGTTCACCTGATGCAGTAAAAGCTTTCCCACATTTGTCACAACTGTAGGGTTTTTCTCCAGTGTGAACACGTTGATGGATTTTTAGTTTCCCTGATGTAAAGAAAGTTTTCTCACACTGGTCACAGCTGTACGGTTTTTCTCCAGTGTGAAAACGTTGGTGGATTTTTAGTTCACTTGATTGTGTGAAAACTTTCCCACATTGGTCACAGTTGTATGGTTTCTCTCCAGTGTGAACACGTTGGTGGACTTTCAGGTTCCCTGATGTAGTGAATGCTTTCCCACATTGGTCACACTTATAAGGTTTCTCTCCAGTGTGAACACGATAGTGCTTTTTTAATTCATCTGCTGTAGCAAATGTTTTCCCACACTGGTCACACCTGTATGGTTTCTCTCCCGTGTGAACACGTCTGTGGACATATAGGCTCCTAAAACTAGTGAAAAATTTCCCACATTGGTCACACCAGTACGGTTTCTCTCCAGTGTGAACACGGTGGTGCATTTCTAGGCCACCTGATGAAATGAATGTTTTCCCACACTGGTCACAGCTGTACGGTTTCTCTCCAGTGTGAACACGTTGGTGGATTTTTAGGTGACTTGATTGAGTGAAAGCTTTCCCACATTGTACACAGCTGTAGGGTTTCTCTCCAGTGTGAACACGTTGGTGGATTCTTAGGTCACCTGATGTAGTGAACGCTTTCTCACACTGGTCACAGCTGTACGGTTTCTCTCCAGTGTGAACTCTCTGATGAATCTTCAAATACCAGCATGCTTTAAAGGATTTGTCACAGAGCTGACAGTGGTGACGTTTGAGTCCATCTCCTCCTCTCCGTTTCTACATTGACAGACATACAGAGAGAAAGACAGTTAGCTCGCTCCACAGTGACATCCCACTATTTAGAACCATAGATGACATTTAGAGCATGTCTGTGGAACACACCCCACAATGTTCAAGTCTGACTAATGCATTACCACCTGTGAAAAACCAAACTGCAATGCAGACTTGCAGTGCATTTCTGAAGGGTCAAGGAGAGGCTCACTCTAACTCAACACAGATAGCACACAAGTCGCGCCAATGTCGGACTGAGATTGCACATCAGGTAGGGCTGCAACAATTAGTCGACATAATCAACGTTCTCGGCTTGTGAAACTTAGAAGCACTTAATAAAAAATAAATAGAAGTAGTATGAAAGTGGACTGTTGCATCTGTATTCTAAATACACATTACAAGGTACAGTAGTGTAAAAATATTGTACTTAATGGTAGCCAGTTAGTCTGAAACAGACACTATATTTATACAAAGAAAAGAATAACTTCATTAAAATAACTCATTTGACAGACATTTTTAGCCAAAGCGACTTACATTTGAGGAACAACATCCAAGCGCCAAATACAGCACGAGATCTACAACAGCTAATATAAGATATCGCATCAATGGGGTAAATACCTAGGGAAAAAAGTTCAGTCAATACAACATAGTTGTAAGGGGATAGAAGAAGAAATGTTAGAGGTTAGGAGTTAGCTGTGTTATAAGAGGAAGTGTTAGTGGATGAGATGAGTTTAAGAGCTTCTTGAAGTTAGAGAGGGACCACCTGCTCTGATGGCGTGTGGTAGCTCGTTCCACCATTGTGGTGTTACAGATGAGAACACCCGGGACTGGGATTGCTTTGGGATTGCACGCTTGGGTGGCGTACGGAGTGAGGTAGGGCCCGATTTTCCTGATGTTGTATAGAGCAAAGCAGCACAACCGGGAGACAGCAGCAACAAGGTCTGAAAAGGACAGCTGGTCACCAATCATGACACCCAAGTTTCTCACCAACCTGGTTGGAGTGATGAGGAGTCAATTTGTAGTTTGATGTAATGGTGGATAGATTGCTTGGCTGGAATGACCAAGCGTTCAGTCTTAGAGAGGTTTAGTTGAAGGTGGCAAGCCTTCATCCATGCGGAAATGTCCAAGAGACAGTCTGAGACGCCAAGATGTCATCTGCGTAGCAGGGAGGAGAGAGGAACAGATGTAATAGGACTGCTACATGTTAGCCTTGGTGTTGAGCCTTTTGCACCAGGAGCAACTGATAGCCCTTAAGGTCGGCATTGTCTTTGGTTTTTCGCCATTTTCTTTCAGCGGCTCTGAGATCAGTACGGAGCGCGCGGATGGTAGTAGTCTCAGGTGGGACTGTTTCTGGCGAGCAGGTTTGGTGGATAGAGGACACAGGCATGGCACTACCCAGACATGAGCTCAGTGTAGAGCAAAGAGATTGTGCGGCATTATTGACCTTAAGTGAGGAAAATGTGTTGAGGGGAGGTAGCGCGGAAGCCACCACTGAGGCAAGTGAGTGGGAGACAGGTTGCAAAGGTTGCGTCGTTGTGAGGCATAAGATGCTGGAACAATGGACTGTTCCTGTAGGCATACCATGAACTGGATGAAACAGTGGTCAGACATGTGTAGAGGTGTGACCTTGCCAGCTTTGCGGGTCGGGGGGCTGAGAGCCTGTATTAGATCAAAGGACTGAATCGGAGACAGGAAGTCTGCAGATTTTCATTTGTCTAAGTGAATGTTCACGTCACCGAGGACAAGTAACGTCCTGCTCTGGGATTGAAGACAGCAGTGTGTCTAGCTCTACCACAAAGTTACGCACTTGTCCTGGTGGACGGTATGACAATCATAGAGACCTTTACCGGAGCGGATTCCGAGACAGCATGATATTTGAAGGAGGCATATTGATTTGGTGGTAGCAGCTGTGTGAATTTCCTTTTGTTGGAAATTAAGAGCCTGGTCCCAGGCGTAGGTGAAAGAGTAATTGGTGGACAGCGCAGCGGGGATAACAGAGTTTTCTGGTTTGATCCAGGTCTCAGTGAGTGCCTAAGAGATAATGTATTAACATAAGCAGTGATAAAGTCAGCTTTGTTGACTGCAGACTGGCAGTTCCAAGTAAACAGATGTGGGTGGGTCTGTTTTGAAGGCCGAAATTACAAGAGGGGACCAACAATAATGGTTTTGTAGTGGACAGGGTTTCATAAAATTTATACCGTCTCCCCTAAACCTATTTTTTTTTACCTGCCACCCAGGAAAGGCAGGGGATATTTTTCTCACACTTTCTACCACACTGTTAGTGAGCTGTGACAGCTGTGTTTTTGATAGACAGTTTGTCTCTGAATATCGCTGTCCAATCAGCGTGAAGTCGTGTTCCGCGGAGTCCCACCTCTTTTGGGGCAAATTCAGTCTGGTTGAAAATCGCCCAGATCGCTCTCATAGACTTTCATGTAAAGGCAGTTTTTTTTCGAGCAGCGGCCGCTGCAATGCAATCTCTGCGGGTTCCGGGAGGGCTCGCAGTTACGTGTTTACGTCATGCGCCCAGCAGCAGAGCTACGCTTCTGCCACCTGAAAACGACTCGGCAGTCCTATAGCTTGTTGCTGTCATTACGACCAGCAGCTGTAGAAAATGTATGTTCAAGCTGAAAATTCAACCGTGGTGTTGTGTAGGGAGACGCAGTGACTTTACCAGCGGTGAGTAAGACACAGTATAAATAATACATGTAATTTGTTAGGCTACGAGGAGAGGAAAAGTCCGCTAGCTACTAGGCTAATTTATGCTCCGTAAAATGCCAGAGGCTAAGCTAATAACTGTGACTGTAAAAAAAAATATTGATAGTTATTATTAATTGCCCCCTCTGAGAGATTTGGCAGGAGCCGCCACTGCTGCCACCTCATGCAGAGACAAGAGTACCGTTTTCTCTTCTTTAGAAAGTATGAAATTGTCCGGTGTCGTCGTTCTCCAGCTGGAAACGTCGGCATGAGCGATGCATTGTTTGATTGGAGCTAGCTTGCCAACTAGTGTACCGAGACGAGTCTTCCTCGTCCAGAGAGCCGACATTACGTGCCATCTTTTCAGATTATCTGGCATAACTGACGTGCTTTGGAAATGTTGCAGTTCACAACCTTTTGGCCGAGTGAAAAGTCAAGTGCTCCTGCACTCTGGAGGTTTTAGGTTGTGATGGTGTTAATACTATCACTGATATTGTGTTGTTTAATTAACTTTACTGTTCACATCACTTTACTCCATTAAGCTGACGGTAGGGCTATAATAATTAATTATAAAGATATGAAACTTTTTATCGCGATAACATTTTTGCCATAACGTCCAGCCCTAGCGGATGGTGTTGCTACGGCCCGATGACGTCATGAACAAATTGATTATTAAATTTGTTGGCAACGAATTTAATAATTGGTACTCAATACAAGATTATATTTATTGACTTATAAGACATGACACAAACATAACTACGAGACTATGGAGACGGTCAGGGGACGCACAGCACAGGAGATGGGGGAGGCAGAGCACAGAGAAAAAAGGCCCATACTACAGATGAGCCGCGTACAGCCTCGGTGTCTGACATGTTGAGATAAGATCCCACAAGAGAATAAACCAAATGCAAGATAGAGGACTAAGCTAAACCGCTCAACAGTTAGATGGTTCTCTCTCAGAAGTCCCATCCCCAGGAGTAATAACCCTCTTGGATATTGACGGACCATACAAGGCCACTTTCCCGACCTGGCACAGGTGTTAATTGCAACATTTCTACACGACACGAGATAAAGCTGTTTTCTCCCACACAGGAAATTAATTAGCTTCTCGCTCGTCGCCTCTAAAGTTAAGTTAATTTGAACTTAAGTTCCGCAATGTTGTTCTGGTGTTTATCGGTGCTGCTCATTCGTCCTTGGGTTTCAGAGAGGACACAGACAGATCAACGACGGAGGAGAGCTGTAGCCTCCGTCAGACCCACTTCTTACCGTGTGTTCAGCAGCATATGGAGGCTGTCCTGTTTGACAGGTACCAATTCACAATACATGTACCGCAGAAATTCATTCATTGTGAATTGTATAAATAGTATTACAGTATTTTAACAACTTACTGTTTGCAATACATTTATTATGAAGCGGTCCCCATAAATAATTTGATATACATTCAAATATTTCTATATTTTCTTGATCAAATTCCTTGATATTAATTCAATTTGGAAAACTCTCTTATTGAAATTTCAATCATCCACCACACAATTACTCTAATGACAAAATGTGCAAAATTGTAAAACACAGAATTTTCACACAAATAATAAAACTGAATCCACGGTCATCCAATATGTGAATGTAGCATAACTATTAGGGTTGGGAATCTCTGGGTACGATTCGAGTACGATTCAGAGGGCTGCGATGCGATTATAAAACAATTATCGATGCATCTTGATGCATCTTTTTTTTTTTTTTTATATATACAGGATCTCTGGATAATTACTAGTATAAGTATTTCATTCATTAAAATCCAAAAGAAACATCTCCTAATTAGCTTAAAAGGACTAGATCGCATCCCTAATTTGCTTCATTGACCTCAGCTCCATGGTCACGCCTTCATTTCTTTAACAACCAGTTGTCAGACTCCTCTGAACACTGAAATATAATTATCAGGAGTGTGTACAGTATGTTTACAGGACAGGGGCCTCACATGCACAATATTTGGTTCACGAGAAGCAGAAGACATTTTAACACTATTTTGATGAAATATTCAATGCCCTCGAAAATTTGGGCATGAAACACTTACTTTCCTGCATTCTGGAGACATTTTCAGAAAATTCAGGTGACAGTTCAAACAGAATATAACGCAATACTCAGCAGCTTGTTTTACTTACTTGTGTTACTTTTTTTGGACAATGCACATTTGTTTCTTCTATATTTACATTACATTGCTGTGGCTCAGGAGGTAGAGCGGGTTGGCCGTTAATCGGAAGGTCAGCGGTTGGGCTCGGGTTTGTTTTTTCTTCTGCCCAGTGATCGCCGCATCTGGGTGATGTAAGTTTAATGTAAGTTAGTTTGATGGTTCCATTCACATAACGTTACATTACAACAGCGGCGCAACGCTGACACAAAGACACAGTCCTTTTCTCATCCACAACTGTCTCTCCGTTGCTGTTGTGACATTCACTGACCAGGAACCTGCAGCGGGTCTTCCAGCTCCGCTGTTTCATTAGCACTCGCCACAGTGTGACTGGCTCGCACGCCAATCTTGCTTGTTGTGCTAACCTCAGCGCCACTGTCCTCAGGCTTCGTCCCCCAACTTGTCTGTACCTCTGGTCCGTTCTCTTACTGCTCATGGCGGCTAGTCAGATGTCCCCCACTCCGACACCATCTTCAAACAGTCACCTTCCCCCTCTGACCTCTAACCTACCCTCAAGATCTGTGAAGAGGACGTGAGCCACCTCTTCCAAAGGCAGAAGATCAGGAAGGCTCCTGGACCTGACGGTGTCTCACCATCGTGCCTGAAAATCTGTGCGGACCAGCTGGCCCCCCATCTTCACTCAGTTCTTCAACAAATCACTGGAGCTGTGTGAAGTTCCCTCCTGCTTCAAACGCTCCACAGTCATCCCGGTCCCAAAAAAAAACTCCATCTCTGGACTGAATGACTACAGGCCCATCGCCCTGACATCTGTAGTCATGAAGTCCTTTGAAAGACTGGTGTTGGCCCACCTGAAGGACATTACAGGCCCCCTGCTGGACCCCCTGCAGTTTGCCTACAGGGCTAACAGGTCAGTGGATGATGCAGTCAACTTGGGTCTGCATCACATCCTGCAACACCTCGACTCTCCAGGGACATATGCAAGGATCCTCTCCGTGGACTTCAGCTCAGCGTTCAACACCATCATCCCGGACATCCTCAGCACCAAACTCACCCAGCTCACTATACCAGCCTCCACCTGTCAATGGATCAGAGACTTCCTGACTGACAGGAGTCAGCAGGTGAGGCTGGGAAACATCACATCCAGCACCCGGACTATCAGCACTGGCGCCCACCAGGGGTGTGTGCTGTCCCCACTGCTCTTCTCCCTCTACACCAACGACTGCACCTCAGGGGACCCATCTGTCAAACTCCTGAAGTTTGCTGACGACACAACGGTCATCGGCCTCATCCGGGACGGTGATGAGTCGGCCTACAGATCAGCTGGCTCTCTGGTGCGGTCAGAACAACCTGGAGCTTAACACGCTCAAAACTGTGAAGATGATCGCGGACTTCAGGTGGAGCCCCCCCACTCTGCCCCCCATCACCATACTCAACAGCCCTGTGTCTGCTGTGGAATCCTTCAGGTTTCTGGGTTCCACTATATCCCAGGCCAAAACTGACACTATCATCAAGAAGGCCCAGCAGAGGATGTACTTCCTGCATCAGCTCAGGAAGCTCAACCTACCTAAGGAGCAGCTGATCCAGTTCTACACGGCCATCATCCAGTCTGTCCGCTGCACCTCCATCACTGTCTGGTTTGGATCTGCCACCAAAAAGGACAGGCGCAGACTACAACGGACAGTCAGGACTGCAGAAAAAATAATCGGTGCCAACCTGCCCTCCATTCAGGACTTATACAGGGAACATCACTGCAGATCCATCTCACCCCGGGCACAACCTGTTCCAGCTCCTCCCCTCTGGTAGGCGCTACAGAGCACTGTACGCCAAAACCAAGAGACTCAGGAACAGTTTCTTCCCACAAGCCATCGCTCTGATGAACAGCTGATTTCTGACTCACAGTGTCAGGAACAATTCCTGTGCAATAACCCAGTAACTCTGTCTCTAATCAGCCACCTGTTTACTGGTTTCCACTTATTATTTATTTATTCACCATTCTCTATTTCAGTGCTGTTCAACTATGTCATATATACTGTATACCAATACACCTACCTCGGTCATAGGTCTTATTTATTTTTTCCAGCATCCTTTGCACTGTGCTCTATCACACTGTGTACATGTGTACCTGTATATCATTTCCACCTTCAACATGTACATAATGAGAATAGTTTACTCTTGCATCCTTTGCACTCTGATCACTGCACTATTTGTCAATATGTCTGTATTGTTTTGTCATAGTGTGTATAGTGTGTCTATTCTGTAGTTTGTGTCTGATTTTATTTTATTATTATTATTATATTATTTTATTACTGTATAAGTAGGCACATCATGAGCAATGTACCATCCTGAGTCAAATTTCTCTAATGTGTACACATACATGGCAATAAAACTGATTCTGAACGATTAGCGATGGGACGGGGGTGATACCGGTAGGTTGTGGCCTTTACTTGCACAGAGTGCTCCTATTTCCAGGCAACTATTGATTAAGTACGTCAGCATCCAGGTAGCATTTTGCTTTGGGCGGATCTGAAGCAGCTGGTTACCTGAGTGATCTACGAAAACACCCGAAAATGTTTATCAAGGTTTTATTTTCCCCCCCCCTCGAGGCTACGGCCAGGGTGCGAACTAGGGGGAGCTGAACTCCTCTTAACAAGACATGAACTCCCCAGAAAACATGATGAGATATTTTGGTGGCTCTTTAAAATATTGACAATATGCTATTTTTGCCATTAATTTCTATTTTTCTGTACCATCATGATTCACGTATAAAATCAATATTATCCAAAATATCAGTTCACATACAGGATCATCGCTGTAGTAAGAGATGCACAGATTATATTTTTACTGGCTGATTCCAGTTACTGATTTTTTTTAAAGGTCTGACCTGCCGATTCTAATTTTATTTCTTTCCATAAGATCCATAACTGACAGCATACACAAACATTTTTGTAACCATTTATTGGAAAAATCTATTTTTATAATGAGCACCAGTATGAATGTTAGCTATTCTCACTGGTCTCAGTTGTATCATAATGAAACATTGATAATAAAATAACATTTTCACTGGAAGGAGCTGAAAATAAATTGCAGTAGCCAATAAACTAGGCCATTTTTAAACATCTTTTACTTAAAAATATTTGATAAATTATCCTATTTCTTATCTCACCATTTTATTCTTTATTTTAGTGTTTAATCACAAACTACAGTAATCTGCTCACCTTGCTTTTCCCCTCAGACACAGAAGCACACACCTACACCTGCCATCTCTCTCTCTGTCTGCTCTGACTTTATCTGTCAGCAGTTTTATTTAAAAGAACTCACGTTTGGTATCTTCTCACCCGTTATTCTGTTTTCACAGCAGCAGATGAGCCGCTTGTTGTTAATTACCGATAGAGACCACCGTGGTCTGAATGACATCGTCACTGTGTCTTTACCTGCTCCCTGATTTACAAAATCCACAGCGTCTCTTTCTGTGTTTCTCTGCAGATGTAGTGAGCGTCGACTCTTCTTCACTCTCGTGAATAACTTCCACACACCTAAGAGATGTTTTAGCCTGTGTGTGTGTGATTTGAACTTACTGTCTGTGCACACATGTGAAACACGATGCAGTGCAGCCTGTTTTGAATTTGGGGTTTTCATAAGCTGTACGCAATAATCATCGAAATTATATCAAATATAGGCTTGAAATATCTCACTTTGCATGTAATCTGCTATATATTAGTTTCACCTTTTAAGTTAAATTACTGAAATAAATTAACTTTTGCACAATATGCTAATTTTTCGAGTTTCACCTGTATTCACTGCGGGGTTTGAAGGGAGGGAGGTTGAGCCGGGGAGGAGAAGAAGATTAGGCGAGTGCTGAACCGACTACATGTTCTTTTTCAGTCGGTCGAAAACAATGATTTAATGTGGTCATTATGTTGTTACAGTTTAGGCCACTGATTAATTAATCTGTAAAGAAATGAAGCAACTGTAAAATGAATAAACACCATAACTGCCACGCTGCTGCTGTCATCCCTCAGTTTAAAGTGCTGCCACACAGCTGAGGGCTTCATTTTGTTTTCCCTGTGATGTGAACGGATGTGCAGAAAAGCTGAGCACCAGTGGAGGAAAACTGCGCATGCACCGAGCGCGAAACTCCCAGAACAAAGAAAAGAGAAACGCTCGTGAGTTTTTCTTTCAGCTTCCTCTCTTCAAGATGAAAACAGGAATCACGGAGACACTTTGGAAATCAAACCACGTCAACACAAACCCTGGAGCGGGTTTTCAGGCTCTGATCTCTAACAACAGAATGAACGGATGATACACGGACCCTCGAGACTCTTCCTCGTGTCTTTAGTCTCGTGATGAAGTCATGAACACTGACCTGAACATCGGCGCTATCAGAGCACGAGGCTGCTGTTTGGCTCCTGTGGTCCGGGTTCTGGTTCTCCATCGTCCTGCAGGTCTCCGCTGTGACTGGTGGACCGTGTTGTCCTGGACTGAGTCTGGATTCTGGTCTCGGAGCTCTTCAGGCTGAGGGCCTTTCCGGAAGTACGTCCTCTCCGTTTGCGCGTTCACGCTGAGGGTCCGCCTCACTGAGGCCGGAGTGGTAGCGGGTTGTTATGCTGCGTTCCCGGAAACTCGGAACTGGAAACTTGCGACCTAACTAGAAAAACTATCCTTGAAGCCACCTGAAGTCGGATTTCCTACTTGGAGTAAAAATCTGTAACCCGACGTCACGAGTAGCAGCTGAATGACGTCACAAAACAATGGCGGCGCCCATGGAAGCGCACATAATGTTTACGTTAATGGTAAACCATAAACTAAAAGGCAACAAAAAGTATATTTTGCATGTATTTACATTAAAATAATACATACGGTCATATAGTAAAACCTGTTCTGCATATATAGATGTAGAAATATGTTATTAGGTAGCTGGCTACAGAACAGAATCTCAAAGTCTTCTCTGCATAAAGGTTACTGTTAAAAATGCCAAAACATTAGGGAGTGTAACCTACAACACTGACTGACTTGAGGGCTACCAACTTCGTTCACTTTCGGCGTCGTGCACCACCGTGCACCTGGAACACTTTGATGTAGGGAGTTTAAACTGGGAAATATCCCAGTTCTGACCGGTCTCGAACGCAGCATTAAACCCTCCAGTGCTGCTTGTTGAAGGTGTGTAACAGCCTTTGCTGCACGATGGGGAACCTTTCTTTCAAACGTGTGACTTCGCCTGTAAACATGTTGGATTTTTAAATCCAGAAACTACACCAACATTTCTGTATCACCATTCACAGGTTAACAACACCGCTTATTTAATAAAAAATGCCCGATAAACAAAATTACTGTTTTCATTGAATCTTTTCATCTCATATGAAAATCTTCAGCCAAAACAAAAGTACAAAAAGCAACAGAATAAGAGAAGATGACACGCAGGGGGATCACTAACAAGCAACAGAAAAATATTTAACTGTTTTAATCACAATAATTCCAAAGTCCAGAAAATGCTTGTTGGAAAATTTTGGATTTCTATTTTAATCTGTAATTTTAATTTGAAGTATTGCACTAAGCTACATTTTAAATCACAGCCGTTACTGAGTAAAAACAAATCTTTGAGCTGCCCGTTTTGCAGAAGCACCAGGGCCGACCCGTGGCGCTGAGCCCCGCGGCCAGCGCAGCGCAAATTGCTTCCTATCTGAAAGAGCCATCTCCAAAATGTCAGGGGGCTACAAACTGCGCCGCAAGAGGTTTTCAACTCAGGCGAATCAACTCCACCCAGCTGATGCGACACCGGCGATTTTAATCATGTGCACCTCGCGCTGTGATTCCAGACAATAACGTAACTGGTCGGCTACAGTTTTGCAATATGAATATCTTAAAACTGAAGCGCAGCCTTTCTCTGTTTTGGTTTCGGTTTCACATGCAGCATACTGTCCCAAACTGTGTTGGTCTAAAGGGGAGAGGCAGAGCAGAGACCAGCTAGAAAAGGTCCCACGTGGGCCGATTAAAAGAGGCTATTTCCCCAAAGGGAGACTCAAAAGAGAAGGGAAGGCCAAGCATGTGTGCTGACTCAGCAGGGATTTTATTAAATTAGAAAAGTTGATCTAAAGGAGAAAACAAAAAGCAATAGCTACAGAATGCCTGGATTCTATTAAATTTTAATATTTTGAATTGTCACACACTGCCTGAATATTGTGTTTCGCTTTATATAGATGGAGATGAACCATAAATTGGTGCAATGCTCAAAATTTCACATCTCGCCTGGGGCTCCTACACTGTCATGGCCGGCCCTGAGTAGCACATGGATCCTGCCTAAAACAGGAGCATCGGGACTCATCCAGCAGAGGGAACGATCACCGACCGTCCGCAGCGAGAGGGAGTGGACAGAGGCAGGGAGAGGAGGTTGAGGGGCGGCCCGGCGTGCTGCGGACTGTCGGCGATCGTTCCCTCTGGCTGGATGAAGCCCAACGCTCCTCATTTTACGCATGATCCATAAAGATACGGAAGATTCAGAAAGGGCAATTGCAAAAATAGCATGTCATGGTTCACTAAGAGGAGCCGAGCTCCCCTGTAGTTTACACGCTGCTTGTACCACAGGTAGTTGTTAAAAGAAGTTCATAAGACATCGGTGCATGACGTCATTAATGTTGGTTGGCACTAGCAACCTGCTGGTAACTAGTTAGTACAATATTTTTGTCTTTCCACCTCTGTCTTTTTAAACTGGCATATTTAACGTGATCACAGTTCATCTGGTCACAGCACTCATTTATTTCCAACTTTTCATGTACCCTGATTTTATGAACTGGAATTTTAGATTTTGCTAATGTTATTGATTTATTGATATACTGTTGTTTTATTGTGTTTTGTAAAGTGATCTTCAGTGTACTGAAAGGCGCCTCTACATAAAATGTCTAATAATAATAATAATAATAATAATAATATAGCCTAGTCTTTTACAATCAATATAAATATCATACATATATGTCACTTTTTCATAAATTAATAGCTGAACCAGTCAACGTCTTAAAGAAATATCTAAATCTAACAAAAATAATAATGTCAGACTGCTGTGATGATTTTACTGAGGTCAGCTGTTCTGATCTTTATTGTTATTACACAGCTTTAATATTTTTGCTCACATGCTGTTTATTCCATAATAAACTGTTGTTTAATCAAATAACAACAACCTTACTGGGCTGCTGATCTTCCATTATAGGAGGACTGGTTGTTTCTATTAAAGGTAACAGGACACAAACCCTCTGCACACAGTTTGCTCCTCCAGTGAGTTTAAAGTGAAAACTATCATCTGTTGAACAAACTGAAGCTCCTCTGCTGCCTCCTGCTGGCTGCTTCCTGTCACTGTCAGTCTGTTCGTCCCTCAGGACAAACTGGAGAGCTCCTCACAAAACATTCACATTAACAACAACTCAAGTACAGCTCTGGTAAAGGTCATTAACGTCTCCCTCCAGAATGGCCATGTTCCACTGAAAACCTCTGTCATCAGGCCACTTCTCAAAAAAAACACCTTAGAAGTCTTTGCCAACCACAGGCCCGCCTCAGACATTCCTTTGCAAATCCCTTCTCAAGCTACACGCCTGCAAAGCAAGGCGAGTTTATTTGTACAGCACATTTCAACAACAAGGCAATTCAAAGTGCTTTACACCAAACATAAAAGCAACACAGGGAAACTGAAGAAAAAACCCACATTAAAATACAATTTTGAAAAGTTATCGGGGTGATTTTGGTGACAGGAATGTTGATGAATATTCACTGTTTTTTACCAATATTTCACAGTTATGTTATTTTGAGACGTGGTTGTATGGACAGATAGAGTTTTAAAGATAACTCCCAATAAAAGTCAACTTTTAAACAGTAAATATTGGCAAAACATGGACATTCGCCTGGTATATTTTGAAAATCTTGTATGATAACTTGTAGTTTAGTTTATTTTCATCAATCTTGTATGATAACTTGTAGTTTAGTTTATTTTCATCAAATTTACAGTTACAATTGTATTCCAGGTGTTTTAGAAGATAATCAGTTCCATTATAATCTATCTAATGATGGTTTTGATGGTTTATTGCATTAAAATATAGCTTTTTTTTTACCAGGTGAGGATAAAAATATCATTTTTGTTCTTTATTGCATCTCCATTTAGTCTGTAACAGTAAAATAAATATATTTACAGTTGATTCCTTTTCCTTAGGTTCATTTTGGATTTGTTATTTTATCCTGGAAATCGGGGCAAATAACTGGCTGTCCCCAACAAGTTAAAATGAAACATTTCAGACTTGAGCCGAGATTTCTTCACCTCAGCTGGCGCCGTCTTTAACGAATCTGCGGCTCTTTGCTTTGACTAGAATTGGTTTTGCTTTCAGTCTGAACAAACCTCAACAGATTCAAAACCACATTCAGCAACAGGAAATAACAACAGATCAAAATACACAACTACTCTATAAAAACACAACTAGACAAACCTACCAAATACTTCAGGAAATAATACTGAACATGTGTACTATCCTATACTATAAATAGCAAAATCTGGGACATGAATAAATGATATGTATTGACACAAAAAAGTATAAACAAAGAAAATAAAAATAGTGAATACAGATATAAATTGAAGATTAAATGAAAATTCCACAAAGGAGGAAAATGTGTTTAACTACAACACAATAACAAGAAAATCTGAATGAACCCCACAAAAACAATATTTCATCCAGCGTGGAGCTTCACTCTTGACCTTGGGAAACACATCTGTGATAAATGAGTCTAAACTCAAGCCTCACATACGGTGATCGCTCAGAGGAGCCAGGAGAGGAGCCATGCCGGCCCAGCTTGGACTTAATTCTGCTCCTAAAGAGTCGTGGCCTGAACTTTGAAGGAAGTTCAGCCTAGTCAGAGTTAACTCGGGGTTATCAGGCAAACTCTGACCGCCTACACTGGTAGTACGACGGTGGATAACATGTTGGTTAGTTGAGTCCGTGTTAACTTAATTCGAGTTGGTGCAGGATATGATGAATGTAAAGACATGTTAACGGCTAAGCTAGGGAAAAGCCAGGGAGGCTTGTTGGCATCGCATGGAGTAAATTTGTAGCCTAATTATCTTCACAGTGTTCTTATTGTAGTTTAAAATCTCTATTATGTATTTTATGGGCTCTTCTTTTATGTGTAATATGATTAAGATGTAAAGGTACAGCTGCACATAAGGTCCATTGCAATAGAACAAAAAGGAGTCAGCGGAGAGGGGGAATAATCCCAGAGAAAATTTAATTTCCACGATTAAAAGTAAAAAATTCTCTGACATTATAGTCACGCATTTATGAGAGAAACTTCACCTTGCAAGGCTACAACATTAAACACACACATGTCTGTCGTATATTATGCATGCACTGGAAAGTTATATTAGACTTTGCAATGGGGTTTAGCAGTGAGGAAATAGGTGAGTTTAGCCCACAATCACTATTGTGCACCTTAGATCCTAGAGCCGTGGATTGGGTGTATTCAGAAGAAAACACCAGAGTAATTTTAGATTTTTTGTGACATTAATTTCAGGGAATTTAATTTAAGATTTTTCTTTCATCTAGGATTTTTTTTTTCTCATTATTAACCCTGAACTGGCTCCGTACTGTTTTGGACACGTAAAATAATCTAAATGTGTGAAAACACTTGGGAGAATTCAATTATAGACTACAGATGGGCTACATCTAAGAAACTAAATCACAGCTCAGCTGCAGGACTCGCTGTCTGAACGTGATGCTGTCGTGTTCAGAACTTCATTGCAGCCGAAGTGGAACAAATCAGGATGGAATCTAAACAAGTTTCATGAAGTGGTGTGTATTAATATCCTACTTATCATTATCACGGAGTACAGATGTGGTGTGTAGTCCACGTGCAGGGTAACCTCGAGTTAACCACGAACAAAACCTGCTCGGAGCAGTTTAGAGATGCGTAAATTGCCATGGCAACAGACCTCGGGTAACACCTTGTACCCGAACTACCTTTCGTAGAGCGGGTTAACCAGGAAGTTACACCTGACGTCACCAAGTTACTCCTGAAGTTACCTGGATAAGCCAGTTACCTCTCTTCGTAGTACACTGAGCTGGGACTCGTGTCGACCCAGCAACGGAATTCAGAGACTGTTGTGCCCACATCGTTACAGAGACCTGCACAATCAACATCCCGGATCAAGCACTCGACAGGTGGTCCATGTTCAGAGCTGTCAGAGCAAGAGAGGAGGTGGACTCTGTGTTTTACATCGATGACGCTTGGTGCTCAATCGCAGTCAAGATGGCGTCTCAAATGTCAGACTGTTTATTGTGAAAATTAAATTTTCATATTGTCATCTGCTTGCTGCTGTTTACATTCACTACAGATGCAAATTCAAATAAATAAAAAAAAAAGACAGAAATATATATATATATATATATATAAATAATTGATGCAGAAAAGGCAGGAATTGTTGCAGACAATTTCACCAGAAAGCAGGAAATTCACACTGATCTTGTCATGATTATTGACTTGGTTTTTCATCTACATATAGGCTACATGTGGCTGTGGTATGCACATTAAAGAGTGATCATAATGATAATAATAATAATCTTTATTTGTAGAGCACTTTTAAAAAACAAGTTACAAAGTGCTTTAACAAGTGTAAAGACAATAATACCCAAAAGACAATAATACAAAAACAATACAAGAAAAAAGCAAGAAAACATTGAAAAGACTAAAATAAAATGATGACCCCGACCCCTGCAGTGGGATATGACAGAGAAAGCCTAAAATGAACTGACCTCCAATACTGAATCTCACTCCAAACTTAACTGAAAAGTTGGCAGCCCTGACATTATCACTAAAGGAGGCAGAGAAGGGGCTAAACATAAATGTTTGCTGCTGACAGCAAAACTGAAACTGTGGGATTTAGCGAGTCACTAAAAGAAGGAGAGAGCTACGAGGGCTTGAGTTCAAATGTATAGCGGATAATGAGCCGCTTTAAAGAAGAATCTGGTTCGTTTATTTTGCCCTCCAGGTCACCGCGCATGTCACATGACTGAAAACTATGAATATCATATTCCAATCGATTCTTAAATAGGTAGTAATATTTATTCAGCTATAACCTGTCGGGACAAAGTGCAGGTGGCAATTGTGGTGTCCGAACAATAATGCTGCGATGATGTGTTGACAGGAAACCCGCTTGACACTGTTCTTGATCATAAAAGTTTATTAAATCAAAGAGTCCAGCATCAATTACAAGCTCTGCAGCAGGTTGGAGTGACCCAGCCAGTCGGTCTCTCTGTATGTCAAACAACGCTTATATAGGATATGTTTAGGTATCTGTTAGGTACCATAGAGGGGTTTGAGTCTGCAAAATAAAAGGTCAAACCCATAGAAGGGTACAGTACTATTCTCAGGTAACAAAAACAGGGGTTAGAGGTCAAATTCTATAGAAGGGTTCAGTCCCTACATAACCACCAATCACTGCTCTCCCCGTAGAAGGTCTCTGACCCTCTGTCCTGCTGCTACAGTGCTATTTTAAACTGTTGTGAGTCAAATGCATAAATATTGGAAACTACACAATAACTGAGGATGAAAATATGGGTCAAACAGATCAGTTTACTCATGGACCTGTGATTGTGAAGTCATAATCTAGAGACCAATATGGGATTTTTAAAAATTATTATAAATAGTACTTTCAACAAAAGTACAACAAAATATATCAAGCTTTTGATAAATAAAAGTCAAATAAAACTACAGAAAGAAATGCTAAAAGATATGATTTGTTATAAATTATGGCATGCTACTACTAATGAACATAAAAGTAAAGAAGTGTATTGTGGGGGCAAGGAAAATAGAAACTATATAAAAATTACCCTTATATCCATAAATCATATCTAATGTTATTGCTATAACAATAATGACGACAACATTTTTTATATTTATATATATAATTTTTTTTTGTCATGCAGTAGTTATTACCTTACATATAATCTGCCACAATGACTACTTTCTAAAACATATCGTCTATGATACATTGACTGTTTAATTAAGCTAATACTAAATGACCTGTGGTCAGCAGACATCGCCTTATATTCACGTCTGTGTTGGCTTGACCACTCCTCTCTTTATGGTGAACTTCTTATCCTCTGCTCCATCTGGTGGCCACTTACACGTATTGTTTTACCAAATTAACACTGTTCTCCAGCTGTCATTCATTACTGAGTTACTACCTGCAACTTCGAGATTTCACACTAACGTTTCACATTTAAAAGAAGAGGTAACGTTAGAGAACTTTGTCAGGCAGGAAGCCGTGTTAGACACTTGTACAGCTCACGTTTATTCACTAGTCCGCTCTGGTTTAATCATTTCTGACACGCCGACTGTAACTAGAAACAAGCAGCTTGCAGATATATTTAGATTATAGTTAATAAACTATAGTTTAATTGCTCATTAACGTTAGTGCTCCTCCACTGATAAACATGGCATTGACTTTGTGGCTAATTTAGCAACAGGCAGCGTTAGCTGCTGTAACGTTATATTTAGAAGTAATGAACTAGGGAGAAATGAGAGGACCGTTCACTTTAAGTGCCGCCTTGTTTCAGAATAAATCTACAATCATGTCTGTCAGCGTAACGTTAGCCTCCACCACTCACCTACTGTAACATGAAACATCCTGCAGTGACCTGGGAGAGTGCAGTGAACAACGGGAGGGTTAGCAAGTCTGGTATGAATGTTTTCAGGAGAGGAGAAGTGATAAGGGTTGTTTTAATTATTATTTAAGTCATGTAATTGATGTGACAAATTAACAACTCACCTTGAAAAGTGAGAGCTAGTGGGAGCTAGGGAGCTCCTCACCGTAGCTCCAGCAGAGCGTCTCTGAGCTCCAGGCTGTGTAAAACGGACTGGGGTGCAATAAAAAATATGAAAAACACACTTCAAAGCAGTTAGTAGGCTTACTGTAAAAGCCTGTAGGCCTACAAAAGCCTAAGGCAGGGTTAGGCAAATAAGTCTGACATCGGGCCAAAGTTTTGTCAAGCAGTTACATGGCGAGCCAGAAGAGAGTCCAATTATTTCAAATCCTTAAATGTCTATTCGTATGTTTAGCTCAATTGGTAGGAATGGGACTTCCGTTGGGAGGGTTGTATGATCGATTCCAACATACAACGGATATTTATATTTTTTATTTTTCTGCTATCAAAGCAATCTGGCTGCTGGACATATATTATTGCTGGCGGCCAGGTTCTGGCGCGCGGGCCGCCTATTGCCAACCACTGGCTTACGGCTTTTAATCAGTCTCTATAGGATGATATCGCTATAGACAAAAGTTTCTCTGTATCACCGCAGCAAACATGAAGCAGCCTCTAAAACAGTCTGTGGGATTTCCTACAGATGGTGATGTCTTTTTCCAAGAGAGCTGATTGGTCAGTAGGCGGTGTTTTGAGTTGATCTCTTATCTGGAACATAACCTGCTCCGGTTAGCCGTTCAGCATAAGTTACCATGGAGATCTATCCTGGTTGTGGTACAGAAAACCCAGGGTTAACCCTGAAGTTACCTGGATAAGCTCAAATCCTGCTTTGTGGTACAGGCCTCCGGACAAGCTGTCAGGATGATCATCCACTGTGGAGTGGGCTGCTGGGCTGGGCCTCGAGGAGCAGCGGCTGGAGACGCAATATTTTTTCATAATGAGTCTTCCAGGGACCCTGGGCACTGCCATTCACGAATGCTGAGTATTTGGATTTGGCTTGCCAGATGGCTAATGGACATGAATCTTCGTCATGGATGGGACTAACGAGCAGCAGGGTAAGTTAAAGCATGTACACAGACAGTCCAGTTTCTCTCATGTCGGGAGCTTATTCTTTGCTAATAAGACAACACGAGGAGATGAAATGAAAAACAGCTCTCTTGGCTCTGATAGTTTAAAATGAAGCGGCGTGAACACGTTGGTGGCGTTTAAGGGCACCAGTCTGAGTAAAGGTTTTCTCACAGTGGCCACAGCTGTATGGTCTATCCCCGGTGTGAACACGATGGTGGCGTTTCAGGGTACCAGAGTGAGTAAAGGTTTTCTCACAGTAGCCACAGCTGTATGGTCTATCTCCAGTATGAACACGTTGGTGGGTATTTAACGTACTTGATGTACTGAAAACTTTCCCACATTGGTCACACCAGTACGGTTTATCTCCAGTGTGAACACGTTGGTGGACATGTAGGTGACCGAATGAAGTAAAAGCTTTCCCACATTGGTCACACCAGTACGGTTTCTCTCCAGTGTGAACACGTTGGTGGACTTTGAGGTTACCTAATGCACTGAAAGCTTTCCCACATTGGTCACACTTGTGAGGTTTCTCTCCAGTGTGAACGCGACAGTGCTTTTTTACTTCGTCTGATGTAGAGAAAGTTTTCCCACAGTGGTCACACATGTATGGTTTCTCTCCAGTGTGAATACGTTGGTGGACTTGTAGGTTCCTAAAAGTAGTGTAAGTTTTCCCACACTGGTCACACCAGTACGGTTTCTCTCCAGTGTGAACACGTTTGTGCATTTCTAGCCTACTTGATGTAATGAAAGCTTTCCTACATTGGTCACACCTGTAAGGTTTCTCTCCAGTGTGAACACGCCGGTGGACATTTAGGTTCCTAAAAGTAGTGAAAAGTTTCTTACGTTGGTCACAGCTGTTCGGTTGCTTTTTGTGAACACGTTGGTGGACATTTAGTCCACCTGATCGAGAGAACGCTTTCCCACATTGGTCACATTTATATGGTTTCTCTCCAGTGTGAACTCTCTGATGAATCTTCAAATACCAACATGTTGTGAAGGATTTGTGACAGAGCCGACAGCGGTGACGTTTGTGTCCACCTCTTCCTCTCCGTTTCTATATTGACAGACAGACATACAGAGAGGACAACAGTTAGCTCGCTCCACAATGTGCGACAACATTTAGAGCATGTCTGTGGAATAGGGCTGAACGATTTTGAGGGGAAAAATGTAACAGTGATTTTTCTGCCAGATATTGCAATTACGACCCGATTAGCGTTGTTTTATTGAAGTTTTGCTAAAGTTCAATATTCACTGCCAGTCCATTTTTGACGGAAGCCCCGTCAAGCTGCACAAAGTCAGGTTATGGTTGAAATAGCATGATCAGCAGAGGGCATGCCTAGGACACAGAGAGGGGGAGCAGTGTAGACAAAAAACACACATCAATTATTTTTACCTAGATGTGACTTATTTTCTACATAGAAGTGCTGGACTGTAGTCATGAATACAGTAACAAGCAGACACTGTGACTATGCACTCCTTGTTCAACTGTTATTTACTGTAAATTATGACTGCAGGAGAGGCTGCAGGTGGTCAAAATCTGCTGACGCTGTGACAGTGCACACTCTGTTCTACTATTATCATGACTACATGAGGGACTGTTGATGTGTTAGTCGGCTGATATTAAGACATTACATGTGATTCAGCTTCCAACCTCTGGTTATTACAGCCTGTGTGAACTTTGAGTGAACTTGCTGTACAGAAAACCAACAGATACTGGGTGTGTAAAAACACATCAGATAGATGGTGAACTAGAACGCGACAGATGCTTTGCAAATTTGATACAGATAGATGAGCAGAAACGCGACAGATGCAGCCAACACAACATCAAGATTACAGTAAGAAACCAAGCATTAGTGAAAGATGCAGCAGTACATATTGTGTGTCAAATTACGCATGTATAACTTTTAAAAAAGTACGGTGAGACTAAAGTTGAAATATAATGGAGGACTTCTTAGCCAGTAATGTAAAAATATAGAAAGTCAACAACACAGTAATGAATGATAGCTGGAGACGGAGAACAGTGTTAATTTGGTAAAACAATACGTGTAAGTGGCCACCAGATGAAGCAGAGGATAAGAAGTTCACCATAAAGAGAGGAGTGGTCAAGCCAGCACAGACGTGAATATAAGGCGATGTCTGCTGACTACAGGTTGACACCATCCTCCGACCTGCAGGGATGTTGTACGGTTTTACCCCATGTAGGGGTGGGCGATGTTGCGATATTAGATTGTGAATGATTAAAATGTCACCGTGGTCTGCCTTTTCAGAGAGATTGTTAGTATCGTGCTACAGTGCACAGTTTATCAGTTTTAGTTCTATGGCTGATACACGTAGTTGACAGCTGCTCCGTCAACATTGCAAGTCAGCTGCTTGCGTCCTCAGCGGTCTACAAACGCAACACTGTAACTGTCGGCGGTCATAAAATTAACATTAAAAGTTCCCCGTGTCTCCCGGCTCTTCTGCCTCAACGCTCTGGGATTTACGGGCAACGACACCGCGCTCAGCAGCCTCCCAGTGAACACAGCATGAACGGGACCGAACACAGAGGCCGACAGGGAATATAGTACCGATGTGTTTTACAGAGTTTGTTGATGGACAGATACATTTACTTTTCGCTAAACCGCTAACTGTATCTGTAGCTAGTTAGCTCAGTTAGCAGTGCTGCTAGCTGTCCTTTATTAGCCGAGTCAGAACCGGGTCGTGTTGTCATGTTTTTAAACACGCAGAAGCAAACAGCACATTCATCTATGGCAAAATCAAATCAAACAATATTTATTAAAATCTTCGAAATGTTATAAGAACAAAATGAATCAGTATTTTGTTGTTTAACTAACTCATTAGGCAACATTGCAAACAATTACTAAAGGAGTATTGTTTTTCTCTTTTAAAACCAATAACTTGCAAAATAGTCTTAAAAACCAACAGGAAAATTAATCGTGATCCTGCCTGAAATAAATCGTGATATGATATGTTTGGCATATGGCCCACCCCTACTCTCATGTGAAGTCCATCGCTCTCCGTCTGTTAACTTCTGCCACACTTCTCTCATCCTGCACCCTGTTGTTGTTTTCGTTGATGCCTAAAAAAATAAAAGCGCACAAGCTGTCTTTCAGAGCTAGATCAAATGAATGACGTGTATTTGATTTTATTTGATAATTTTTATACAAGCATTATTCTGTTTGAAATAAATAAACTGTTTCATAGTAGTAGAGAAGAAAGCAGATGATTGGACTCGCCTTGCACTCTTTCTAAACCAAACAAATCAGTCACGGTAAGCGCATCAATTAATGTAACCCTTTGAGTAGCCAAGGGCATCACTTTGTGTTGAAAAGAGGTGGGAGCAGATTACGGCTGTGAAGAGACACATAGTTCGCGGGACACCATGATACGCGATGTTAGGTTCACGGGAACGAGACAAAAAGATCCTTAAAAAGTGTTTTAAAGATATTTTTAATGCCGAGAAATATGAGTCAACCCCAGGAAATTTAGCTCATTAAAACTTAATTTCCAGAATTCTGGTGAACTTTTCTGCACCAATTTATGGTGGAATTTTTTTTATTTATGTAAAAGGAAACATATTCAGGTGGCAGGTGCGAATTCAAAGTATATCAATATGATAGGATGTAAGTAACTGCAGCTGCATTCTGTGTTGCTTTCAGATCTGTTTCTTCTGTAAATCAACTTTTCTCATGTAATATCATCCTTACTGAGGAAACACACATGTAGGCATGATTTAGTCTTCCCTCCTCTTTTGTCATCCTCACAGGGAGAGAACAGAAAACTTGGCCAAAAAGAAACTGCATGCGATTTTTGGGTCATTTTATAATCACTAGCTTTTTTTAGCTTAAAGGTTCAGTGTGTAAGATCTAGTGTCATCTAGTGGTGAGGGTTGTGAATTGCAACCGTCTGTCCAGTTTACCACTGCCCCCTAACCTTTCACAGAGCGCAGGACAGCTACGGTGGCTGACACAGCACAAAAGATGAAAATATATAACTACTTCTTGTTCTAACATACGTATTCAACACAGTGAACAGACTCTGCACTGCCTGAATTCTACCACAAGTACAAAAAGAATAACGTAGTGACGAAACGCGCTCTGTGTTTGTCCGTTTCCAGCTGCTGTAGAAACATAACGATGCAATGTGCCGACGTCCATGGTACATTTATATGTAGATATAAATGGCTCATTCTAAGGTAATAAAACATAATGGTTCATTATGTAAGGTCTTTACACACCACTGAAAACATAGTTATGGATCTTATATTGCATTTCTGTCGATAGATCCTGAGAAATATTACAAACTGAACCACCAACTGCACCACTGTTTCCCACAGGATGGTGGGTGGGCCTCGGGGGATCCAGGGGTACGAACCGCTGGAAGAAAATTTTGTACATTTTAAAGTTAAATGCATTAATTTGGTGCAACATTAAGAGGCTATCTATGGAGAACTTGTAAACAATGTTGTGCTCTAACAAAATATTTGACCATAAACCCATCGTAGAGCTTTAAATGGTGATGAAACACCAACAAAAGTCAATAAATGTATTTAATGTAAAGTAATTTCCCTAACATTTTATTGTTGTTTTTTTACTTTAAATGGACACATGTATACTTTCTGTGAATATAATCCAATTAATCTTATTTCCATCCTGTATAGACAGCTTATTTTGAAAACCGGACGTTGTCACATGTGTATCCTTAACACGTGTGCGCTCCAAATGTAGGCGTGGCTAGCTTAATCGCCTTCTCACAAACGAGTGACAGAAACAGACCGTTACCGAAGTTACCTCAAAAGAAAAGTAGTTGTCTCAAGTCGGATGCCAAAGTGTGCGAGTTTACAGCAGCTCAAAACACAATGTTAGAGGTCTGAAACATTATTATGAGATGTGTGTAAAACTATTTTAGGTTCATTTTGAGACTGTGGCGGGCCGCCATGGTCTCGTTAATTAATTGGAAACACTGATGCACATTTGTTTCTTCTATATTTTAATGTGCAAATAAACCTTATTAAAAAGCATTTTCATTTGTTATTTAACTGCAAGCTATATTTCAGAAAGTTTTTAACACATTATGCTTTAGGAAAGTGGTGTGCACCAGGGGCGATTCTAGGATCAGACCTTTAGGGGTGCTCAGCCCCTAATGAGAATGCAGCATGCATACAATGCCTTGCAAAAGTGTTCACCAATCAGCAGAGAGTATAAGCAGGTCTGCTAGAGAGGAGCTGTTGCAGAGCGGGTCAGTCAAGGGCGTGACTTTGTGTTAAAAAGTTGTGGAGGCATAAGGAGGATACATTTGGGTCATGAGATGTGATGATGGACCAGAAGAAGATTTTTGGCACGGTTTAGATTAAATATTTGATGCTGAAATACAGTATATGTGCGAGGGGTCTGGGGCTCCTCCCTCAGAAGATTTTGAGCATTAAACTCATAATTTCCTGCATTCTGGAGACATTTTCTGCTCCACTTTTACGGTGGAAATGTCTTTTTTTATATGAGGGAAAACTAAATTGTGTTGCAGGTTTTCTTTTGTGCAAATTAATATTTTTCTCAAAGCATTTTCATTTGTTAGTTTACATTTCTTGATGCTGTTTTTCAGAACTGTTTTAACAAATGCTTTCAAAAAGTGATGTGAACAAAATCAACCATTTCAAAATGTGTCCCCAGCATTCTCAGTGTAAATGTGTACCAGTCCTTCTTACTCCTTCAGAGGAGGGAGGGTGTGAATTTTGGACTGAACTCGCCCCAGATGGAAAGTAACTCCTTCGATCGGTGCCATTCAGCCAATCAGAATTCAGCAAAAACGAAGATCAGTCCAA